AGATAATTAGTATGCACAACCCAACAAAGTCTGTAAAATTAACCCAATGAAGAGATAATAATAATCATGCAGCACAGGTCGAATCGCCTCCAAGTACTTGGATATTATTGTGGCAGTTGTGACTACAATTTACATTATCCTTTTCTTTTTATTTTTGAGGATCCACTTAAGTAGTTAAGAATTTAGTTATTAGCAATGGAAGCACTGGGAACATCCCCAGCAGAATAACTGCTTTGTTTTTCCATGATACTTACTGCAGGGCCGGGTTCCCCGGGAGGACCAGGATCTCCAGGAAAACCAACAGGACCCTAAAATCATGTTTTTAAAGGAAAGAAAACAAATTTAAAAATTTTTTATAAAATCATGATATTCTGATGTGTAAGAAGTGAAAGTCATGGTTTACCCATATGAGAATATTTCCCTTATCTGGCTAGAAGAATTTAAAAAAAAAAAGAAGGAAATTGATAAAGCTTATGAATATGGGAAACAATGAAAAGTCAGCTTTGCCAGCTGTAGGCCATAGTCTCATGATTTTTAATCTTATTTTGAAAAGCTCCAAAGTGGCTTTGAGAGATGCCACTTGAAAGAGGACCAAGGTCACTTACCGGGTTACCCTTAGGCCCATCATCACCTGGTGGTCCCTTAGCACCAGGAGGTCCAGCAGCTCCAGGCGGACCAGCTTCTCCTTTCTCTCCTCTTTCTCCTTTGGGACCCTACACAATGTAAGAAAGGGAAAGATTATCTTACAAGCTTTAAATCAGAGTTTCTCAACCTTGGCATAGGAGGTCGGACAATTCCTAGCTGTGGGAGGCTGTTCTGTGCATACCAGGATGTTTAACAGCCCCCAGATCTCTCCTACTTAGAAACCAGCAACTACCATTTCTCCAAGTGTGACAACCAAAAATGTCTCCAGACATTGCCAAGTGTTTCCTGGGAGTCAAATTCACTCCTGGTTTAAACCAATCTAAGAACAATACAGTTCTAATACAATTCATAAATGTCTATTTGATATAGCAGGGTTGGTTTGTTTCCTGTGTGGACAGTCCACCAAAAATATATGTATGCAATAAACAGCTCAGAGTTTTACTGTTCTAACTTACTCAAATGTGACTTATTTCAATTTTTATGTGAATGAAAATATGCAGAGGATAGGCAAAATTATTAACTAAAAAGGCTCTGCAGTTGTGATGACTCTTAACGAAATGGAAAAGGAAAGCAAATAACTGACTCACAGCTAGGAGTTAAGTTACATGTCTAAAATACTCCGAAATATCTGAACCATAACGCACTACACTGACAACAAGATAGCACTTACGCCTGGGCCTGCTTCTCCAGGAGGCCCTGGGTTCCCCGCGTCCCCAGGTTCACCCTATAAAGAAGAGATCACATGAGTATCAGAACACAGAAATGATGTCTTACGTTTCTAAAAATGCCTTCAATGACGACCATGACATTTTAAACTAGCCCTTAACTCATGATATTGTTTAAAAGGCAGTGGACGACTCTGATAAAAAGAAGGAACTTTTCCTATTACTGACGTTAATACTTTTATTTCTCAGGTGAGGAGACACAACTGGATAAGCTAGATGCTACAGTTCTCATCAGTTTAGTTAACAGCTGGAGCATTAACCCAAGTTACCACCAAACCACACAAAACAGACATTTGCATGTTTCCTAAAAATTGTATACTTGTGTTGCATCAATATTTATATTACAATTACGTTTATGGGTTAAATAATATAATTTTTTACTAAAATATGAACTTATCTTGATTATAATAAGCAAATAATTTGATAGTATTTTGATAATTCTATAAAATATATTTAGTAGAGGCCTAATGAGGTCTAAAGCTATAAATAAATACAAAAAGACTACTTATAAGATACATAAAGGTACTTAGATACTAATAAAAACTGCTCCTTTTGAGGATATACATGTATTATGATTATGGTCTCCCTGTGTACATATGGATGGCTATTTTCTGACTCAGTGGATTAATAAATGAACCTCCTAGACTAGAAGGTTTTAGTTACGCAAGTCTGTTACTAACTTTTCACCCTTAGAAATGCATACAAACATATTCCATTCAAGTAATCATCCAAGTGAAGACGGACAGTACATTCATGCACCATGTTTCTCTACAAAATCAGCTATACTGGAAACGCTAAAGTGAAAATTGTTCTAAATTTTTTAACACGTGAGACCTGAATTTCGTTTAATTTTTAGCTCAGCTATTTCCAGTATTTCTGGCACAAATCTTTTGCTCATAAATTGGTTTGAAATGTATTATATTAAATATAAACATAATTCCAGGGGAGAGACTATTTTGTGTATATCAGTTTTTACTCTTTGAGAATATGCACATATTTTAACTTTTTGAATTATCTGTATAATGATGGATGACAACAAGTACTTTCTAGGAATTTATTAGTATTACTGTTGTATGTAAATTATTTTCTCTCTCAAGGTGAGTAGCAAATATTTTCAATTACCTTGAATAAACTTTACAAGTAAAATACTGCATTTACATTATTTCCAAAGCAATGAATCTCAGTATGATGGATGTAAGTGATATTTTTATGAACCATTATTGACATCTTTGAAGAAAAAACTTAAGCAGTTTGCCATTCAAATCAACTATAAAATGTCCATATTTGATTCTTTGGAATAGATATAGTATACTGCATAACCTCACTTAGATGTGGAATTTAAAATAGCCAAACTCATACAAGCAGAGAGTAGAATGGTGGTCACCAAGAATTGGAGAATGGGGGCCGTGGGTAGATGTTGGTCAAAAGGTACAAAATTTCAGATACTCAAGATGGATAAGTTCTGGAGATCTAATATACAGCAGTGTGACTATAGTTAACAATATTGTATCGTGTGCTTGAAATTTGCTAACAGGGTAGATCTTAAGTGTTCTCCATCACACAATCCAAAAAAAAAAAACAACTGTGAGTTGATAAGTAAGTTAACTGGCTTGAGTGGTGATTATTTCACAATGTATACATGCATTG